AAACCATGACAGTTTGGATGGTAAATATGTGTAATGTAACAAAAAAGCCTTTCCAGAAGTTCTGCATCTGCTCGTGCTGCTCACGCACTGTGGGCGTTCTCTGTGCTTGGGCGGAGGATCGGGTTGCAGTGACTGTAGGTGTGGAGTTGCTGCGTGCCACAGCTCACTGCTGAGTGCCGGAAGCAAAGATTTTGGTGTAAGGGCTGCTTTATACTGAATTGAGGAGCTGGGCTAATCGTCCTCAGAGCTCAAGTTTTTCTGTATTTTCATGGAGAAGTGCTTCAGCTTTCCAGCCTTACCGCTTGCTGCAGTGGGAGAATTCTGGGCGTGGGGTGGGATGGAAGTGCTCTTCCAGGCAGTGTAACTGTTGATTTGTTCTCCGCAGGATTTGGTGAAAAGCCATCTGATGTACGCAGTAAGAGAAGAAGTGGAAGTTCTGAAGGAACAAATAAAAGAATTAGTTGAAAGAAACTCTTTACTTGAACGAGAGAACGCACTGTTGAAATCTCTTTCAAACAACGATCAGTTATCCCAACTTTCAGCCCAACAGGCCAATCCCAGTAGCACTTTGCAGGCGCAGGCGGTGACAGCGCAGCCTGCACAGCCAGCACAGCCTCCGCAGCAGCCGAATGTCTCCTCAGCGTAAAGCTTTCCTGCCTCGTTTCAAAGCAGAAAACCTGAGAGCAGTCTGTCCTCGTGTGCCACTGATGTTCTTTCCACTTTATATGAAAGCGAGTAGCCATGCTTCTGTCGCGTGTTTGGCCTTCTCAGTATTAGACAATCATCCCACAAGAGCTTTCCCTGCCCGATGCGTGGCAAAGTGCGGTTGGGCTCCGTTCTGCCGTCGGGCGCAGGGAGGTGATGGCGGAGCTGCTCTGCACGGCCGGGGTGCTGTGGCGTCCCGGCGGCTCCGCAGGGTTCCAACGCTGTCATGAGAAGCATCGATTCGCCCCGAGAGCCACTGTCCTTTCCATATAAGTAACATTTGCCTACATTAGTTTCATTTATGTTGTTTTATTTATTACAGGGCTGCTATTTTCATAATGTTCATGAACAATGTCACAGAACTTTTTTTAATTTTTTGATAAATGTATGTATCGGTAAAACGATAGATGGGATTGCGTTTAATAGGTAAAATGTTTAGGCAATAATTGAACAAAAGGATCCTGGCATATTTCTAACACTAATGGCAGTTCACCTTGGGTATTTATTTACGGTAGTGAAGATCCAGCTGGAATGTAAATTTTGTATAGAGTGTAAGTATGAAGAGCATAGTGCATCTGTACAGGTAGTCACCAGTCCTTGTGATATAATAAATAATGGATGGGCTATTTTGATGAAGAAAACTTTGCTCATTTCTGTTTCTACTTTCTGATAGAGAGAAATTGCCACGATTCCTCCGCTTTTTGACATTTCGTATAATTTTTTTTTTTTTTTTGGGTGGGAATAAAAAGCTGTGAAATTGTTCAACCTCCTTTGTAACCAAAGAAGCAAAGCTGTGTAATTGTTTTTTTTTATTTTATAATGCACATTCTTTATGTATTTTTATTTAGTGTTTCCTCATTCACACCTTTCTTTGCTGTCTAGCATGATCTGCATGACCTATAATCTTCGAACCACTTTCGTACCTCATGTTTTTATCCAGCACTCTTATTGTAACGTGTATCAGTCTGTGAACAACGTCAAATAAAGAGAGAAGAGCCGCGTGGGGCCGCGTGCGCTGCGCTCGGGTGGTGGCGGTGAAGTGAGCCATCTTTTGTTCATTTAAAATGGTGTTTTGAATTTCGTATGCAGGAAATGTTTTGTTACATTGCAGATTTTAATGTATTTAATAAATGCAACATGCAGATTACGTGCAGTGTATATGAGTATTTAAATTAAAATGTACATTTCATAAATACGGTTTCAAGAGAGGCCATCATTTGTGTCAGCCGGCGCAGCGTGCCGAGCGGACGAACGAGCCGCTGTTTCAGCGGCGTTCCGGAATCGGACGTTTGGAACGGGGACGAGGGACAGCCGAGCGGTGCGGCTGCAGCCGTCGCGGCCCCCGGCGCCCGCCGGGAACCGTTTCGCTCCGCGCTGGGCTCGGCTCCCCGGGCCGGAGGGCGGCGGCCGTCCGCGGGGTCCGCGCCGGGATGCCGGCGGCTCCGCCCTCGGTAAGACGGACGGGGAGCGCGGGGCGCTGCGGGAGCGGACGGGGGCCGCCAGCGGGGCTCGGCCGGGCGGCGGCTGTGAGGGGCGGGCAGCGCGCGCTCGGCGTGCGGCCGTTCCACGCGGGAGAAGGAACCTCGGGCCGCCTCCGCGTCCCCCGCCGGGCGGCGCCGTCGGCCGTCGGCTCCGCCGACCGCGGGGCGGCGCCGCACGGCGGAGCGGAGCCGCGGACGCGGGGCGGGGCCTCCGTCGGGCGCGGCACTGTGGCGCCACCCTGCGGCGGGGAGGTCGCGGCCGCCCGCGTGGGCCGCCCCGGTGACGGGCGCTGCGCCGCGCGGCCGGGATCCTTGCGGAAGGCGGCGGCGGCGGCGTTCCCCTCCGCGCAGCGATTCCCGCGCGAAAGGCAGCGTCCTACAGCCCCGTACGCCCCGTGTGCCAATAGCTGCCGGTCGCGTCGGAGTCGCCGTTATGCGTTTCTTTCTGTGTCAGCGACGGAGCGCGTTTTCAGCCGTGCCGCACCCGTACTGCCGCACCCGACGGCCGCGGTGCCGCGCGGAGCTGCAGCCGCACAGCTGCCGCCCGGCTCTGAGCACGCGGGACGGAGGCGGCCCCGCACTTCGCGTCGCGCTTCTGGCGGGCGCGATGCCGCGCGGTCGCTCCGAGGCCCGGGGATTCCAGCCGTCGGCTCCCCTTGATTTGCGCCCCGCTGACCGCGGCCTCGCACGGAGCTGCAGGCCGGAGCGGGGGCTGTGCTGCTCAAACGGTTGTCGCACGCTGCCGGCTGTTCCCACGTATGTCATCCCCCGCTCGAGGAGATTTTATTGCTGCTTCGTAAGCTGGAATCGCGTCGCTTTCTCATTGCAATACAAATTTGTTGTGAAGTCGTTCGCTGTGCGCAGTAGCAGCATTGGATTCTGTACCCGGTTCAGAAGCTGCCAGCACCGAATGTTCCTAAAGATGAACCGCTCCAACCTCGGGGCCCCATCCGAGGCCGCCCCAATCAGCGGCTGCCACTCCCGAGCCGCACCGTGCGCTGCAGCAGCCGGGGGGACGCTGTGCAGCAGGCATTGCTCGGGGCGTTGGCTGCAGGGCATCACGGAGCTGTCTTCACATCGCAGCTCCTCCTGCCCTCTTCGGCTGTATCTTGCCGGTATTTAACACCACATCACTGCAAAGTGACCTCTCACAGCTGATCGCTGAAGGAACCGTTAGCTAAGCAGCTTTCCCACCCTTAGCGCACACCAGCCCTATTCTCGGTGCTATCATTTTTAGCACCCCCAGCATACTTCCATTTCAATCCAACAGCCCTCCTGAAGGGGCAAAATACAAATTGCCATTGCTGACGGAGGCAGCATTGGCACTGTCTCTTTCAGACAGGGATTGCTGCTTGTGCTGTAATTGCAACAAAGCAGCTACCGCATGTCTTTCTCTTTCATACATGATTTAACAACATGGTTCTGTTTTTCCAAACCCAGCGATACTGGCGGGTGTGAGAGCACACTGACCTCTTGCACAAGCAAAGCCGCAGAACTGCTGATGTATTCTGTATATTTGTACCCAAGTGAGTCTTCTACAAAGATGGCTTTCAGCAAAACTGGGCCCATGGAGGTCAGAGGTCAGCACAGCCCATTCTGACACCCCACTGTTCTGACCCAACTGCAGCATATGAGGAATGCTGGGCAGGAATGGGCACCCCCAGTGCTGAGGGCAGCCCCCAGAGATCCCTTCACCACTGAGGGTCCCCCCATAACACTCGGGGTGAAGTGGCCCACGTAACACCCAGAAGACAACACTTTGCCATCCTCAAAATTAACTCACATTTGAGAAGAACTTTATTTAAAATCAGAGATTATACAGACTTCCCCTCCCCCATCGATTACAAAATATGAGCTTCCAGGAATAAGGAATGTCGTTGCGTTGCACAGCCTGGTTCTGGGGCATGGCCTGGGCCATGCCAGTTTACACCACTTCCAATGATTCCAGATGGTAATATGACAACCAGCAAAAAGTCTGCTCCTTCACAGCTAAAAGACATGAAATTCAACTCTATAGAAAGTTGTATCTATTACTACTAATGTAACCGGACTTTAAATGTCTTCTAAGAAACCTGAAAAAAAGAGATCTTGCTTTAGCAACTGCATGCAACAGCAGACCTATTTCAGACTGCTTTGTTTACCACAACAGACAGTAGGAGAGCCTCACAGAGCTGAGACCATCAGCAATAAGGAATGATCAATAGCAGCACTTTCCATTGTGATTTAAGTTACATTCTTCTATACAGGTAAGGAGGGTTTGGTTTCTGTTTTTCAGCACTACTAATAAGGAACTGCAATCATCCAGAGGGAGCAGCTTAGCACTGGAACCATCGTTGGATGACACATCAAGGTGAAAGCAGGATTTACCTTAAATACAATTAGAATATATATTGCGAGACATACTATACTGTGCCGATGCTGCACACAAAAGCAGAACTGCGGGTTGGAGGGGCAGGGTCCCCGGTACCTGCACGAGGCATCCCTATCCCACACGGCATTTTAGAACCGAAGCCCACGACTCGGTGGGAGGTTTCCAAGACGTGCGTGCAGCGCCGCTGCAGCCCAATGCCAGGAGCAGCCTTGGAGCGCGTGTCCTCGGGGACGAGCAGTTTGTGGAAGCCCCGCATCGGGCGATGTCGGGAAGGGCTGCTGCCCGGCCATGCTGGCTCGCGGGCAGGGAATGCGCCCCAGCTCAATACAAACAGGCATTCATACGGACAGGACGAGAAGCACAGGGTAAGGTTATCTAACACAGTATGAGCCCGAGGGCCAACGCGGCGCCGCACGCTGCAGCTCTGCCCCGCACACCGCGCTGAGCTGCACGGCGCCGGTTGCTCGCCAGCAGCGTGCTCTGCCTCGGTGCTCTGACTGCCACAGAAATCCCGGCTGCCGGCTTCAAACAGAGCCGTTTCCGGCGGCTCGTACGGATGCGGGAGCGGTGCTTACAGCAGGCGTCAGTCCCCGGGAACCCGCACTGCGCAGTCTGACACGTTACGTGAGCACGGAGGATACGTTGCTGAATAAGCAGGTCCACGATTGGGGCTCAACAACAGAACTTTATTGCTGTGTACATGTGGTGCTGCTCAAGGCACTGTGGCACGGACTGGGACGCTCGGAATGGCGGCGAAGGGCCTGGAATGCGCGGCGGGGCGGGGGCTCACATGCCCATGCGGATGCTCTGGATGATCTGGAAGATGGCTGCAAGAGAGGGGGCGCTCAGCGGGGCCGCGGGGCGGGGCGGGGCGCGGGGCGCGGGGCTCACCTGATCCGCAGACCACGAAAATGAACAGCGCCAGCAGCCAGGGCCCGACCGACGCCTTCTCCTCCGGGGCCGTCCTCTGCGGGCACAGCATCGCGTCACGCGCCGCCCCGCGCCGCCCCGCGCCGCCCCCGGCCCCAGCCCAGGCCCCACGCACCGAGGTCTTGGCGACGTTCCCGCGCTGCGTGATGTTCTTGCTGTGCTTCTCGTTGGCCATGCGGATGCGCTGCTTGGCCACCATGGTGCGGCCGCGCCGGGCCGGGCCGGGACCGCTCCGCTCCGCTCTCTGCGCCGCGTCAGCACCGCGCGGCGCCGCCCGCCGGAAGCCGTCACGCCGGGAGCCGCCCGCCGCCAACCCGTGCCGCCCGCCGGCAGCGCTTCCGGGGCGGCGGGCGGAAGCGGCCTCTCCGCGTCACGTGACAGGCGGCGCCTCTCGCGCCGCGCGACGTGGAGCTCCCAGGGGCGGCCGCGCCGCCGCTCACCCGGAAGTAGAAGCGCCGCCAAGATGGCGCCGCCCGCGCCGCTGCTGGCAGGTGGGCGCCGAGCCGCGCCGGGCGGGTGGGGGTTCCGAGGACGGCGCCGGGCTCCGCCTTCCCTCCCGCCGAGCTCGAGTCCCGCCGGCGACGCCGCCGCTCCGTCCCGCTCCTCCCGTCCCACTGCGGAGGCGGCTGCGGCGGAGCGGTCCGGATCCCGGCGGGACCCGGCCGGGGGTTCGGCCACGGGCCCGGGGTCACGCCGTTCTCCCGGCGGCGGCCGAGGGCCGTCGGCAGCGTTCCGCCGCGCTCTGCCCGCCGAAGCGGTCGCCGCTGCCCGCGGAACCCCCGTGCGGAGCTCAGATGCGCTGCGCGGAAGTAGCGCGCGGATGGGCTGCGGGCCGGCACTGCGCTTCGTGTCACATCTGCCCTGCTTTAGTCCGGCGGTTAGCCTGCGGGAGGCCGGAACGTCCCTTATAAGCCTTAGTTGTTTTATTAACTCTAAAATGCGAAAAAAGGGAGACATTTCAGCGTTTGTAAATTAGGTTAAAGTTTGGCTCGGGGCAGTTTTGTGAATCTGCAGTGGGTGTGTGTTTGTTTCCTCTTTCAGTGAGGGGCTCCGAAGGGCTCTTCATGGTGAATGGGCCGCCCAGCTTCACAGAGAGTGCGGTGTTCCAAAGGTACGGTGCTGTCACAGCTTGTGGCCTTCTGCTCCCCTGGGCAGGCGTCACTGGGCGTCGTGCGGTGGAAGGAGCCCCAAAGGCCATCACGTCCCACTCCTGGATTGGTCTCTGGCTTTCACATTTTTTGCTGAAAAGTAAATGTAGACTCCAGAATTGAAAAATGTGTAAATAAGCGAACTTTTCCGTACTGACAGTTGTTCAGAAAGCTGCTTCTGAGGGCTCTACCTTGGCCTGGCTCCGAATGTGAAAGTGACTGAGCAATTAGAATAGAATAGCTCAGTTGGAAGGGACCATCAATGGTGTTACAGTCCAGCTGCACTCCTTCTGTTACAAAGCATGATTCTGAAAGACAAAAATTGTTGTGGTGTTTTAATTTTTAAAAATACTTTAACTTATGCAACGCATTTGAATACTAATGTGCATTTCTTATTTCTTTAGGGACTCTGGAAAAAATTGCAAAGCTGTTGCTTTTAGCAAGGACGGTTCCCTCTTTGCCTGGTGCAATGGAGAAAAGTTGGTGCATTTTATGATGCTAGCCAATTTATATAAAGTAAACTGTGTCAATTTTTGCCATGTTTACCTTGTTTATGTGAAGACTGTTGAAGTAGTGGCTTTATTTTCTAACTATTAAATGAAATACTTGCTGTTCTTTTCATATTTATAATGCACACATTCCCCTGTAACCTGGATATGCGTTAGTTGTTTTGCTTTGTGGATTTTTTTTTCCTATTTCCCAGTACAGCAGTATTTGGTTTTCTGCAATTAGTTCAAGGTGCACGACCTTGCTGCTGGTTGTTCTTTTTTCCTCCATGATGGTATGTTCTGAGATGTAGTGAGCACTGGGCTGCTGTTTAGCTGTGGAGGTGGAATATTTTTCAACGTGTTATGAAGAAATTTGAAAGTCTGCTATATTGCACCTGAACTGTTAATGAAGGTCATAGACATTCATCCCTCATATTTTTATTCACTTAGAAGATCTTTAGCCTCTTCTGTGGAAGCACGGGTGGAATCTCTATGGATGGAGCATACTTTGCCTCTGACTCAGAGTCAAGATGTTAAATACTGAAGTACAGGATACACTTTGACCAGTGCTTTCATGTTGTCAGTTTCTGTTATGCTTGGGTGTCTGGTTGTAAAATATGTTCCTTCAAAAATTTAGTAGAAGTGGGAGGAGAAAACAGGTCTTCTAGTTTTGTACCATTGGGCACATCTGGAACAGAACCAGATACATGAAAAGCTACCTTGGCAATTATCTCATCTAAGCATGTTTCATTGAAATACCATCTTTTGGTTCCAGAGTAAATGTTGTTAACGTCACCAGCGCAGGATTACTGCGTTCCTTTGATCTTCCGAAGGCAGTTTGTCTTGAATTCTCACCAAAGAATAACATTCTGGCAACGTGGCAGGCCTATTCAGGTGAGGATTTACCTACTACAAAGGTACATGGGGTAAATGCATATTATAATTTCATTTAATTCTATTATTTGATTTGCCATCGTGGCACTTTCACTGGTTGAAGGAGCAACATAGAAAACATTCAGAAAATGACTTAGTTATTGAAATGTATAGGAAAGGAGGGAAGGGGTAAGAGCTTCTGAAAGCAGGTGGTATTGACCATTCTCACAAACCAGTGTGTGTGTACTAACTGTCGCTCTGCTAAGTAAGTGGAATGTTTCCAACAGATGCCGCCTGATTTTGTACGAATGGTACATTTCAATAATATGCTGTTCGAGCAGTTTATGATGTGTAGACAAATCAGAAGTTGTCTCAGAGTAGTTACATCCCCCTCTGGACACAGATAACAAACATTTATTCTCTCCTCTACCTCTGTGTGGAGTTTGTTCAGATAAGCCACAGACTTATCGAAGCTGCATGCCTGATGTGCATGGTGTAAATGCTTTCTTTAAGTGAAAGGGTTGGCCGTAAGGTAAGGGCGTGGGGCGTGCTGTGGCGTAGGATGCTTGGTGTGATGCTGGCTGGTATTGGTGCAGGACAGATGCTGGCTGTGGGCTCATGGAGATATGTTAGGAGGTGTTTAAAAAGATGTCCTGGGGTCAGTGGTAATAGACTTGTGATGGAATCCCTGCACCTCTGAATGCTAGTTCCTTCTGTAGGCTGAAAGTCTGGAAGATACTATCGAGTAAAGTAATTAACATCCTAGAGCTTAGCATGACAGGAAGAGGAATGTTTCTTGTAAGAAGTTTGGTTGCTTGTAGAGTCACGAGTTGGAACATCATGATTTAAGCAGGTTTATTCCCAGGAGACCACTGCTTCAGTGCAGTGTTTTTGTTGCAGCTGCCAAAGATGGCACAGCAGGGGCACCTAACCTACAACTTCATGATGTGAAAACTGGAAAGTGTTTGAAGTCCTTCATCCAGAAAAAGATGCAGAACTGGTAAGTAACATTTCTAGGTGTTAACTGCTTACAAAATCTGATACAGGCAAAAATAAATACAACTTCTAGTGTTGTGTTGGCTTTCAGAATGTTGTCTGCTGCTAGCTGAAAGCAGGTAACTGCTAATAAGTACTTCTTGCTCAGTTCCTGTTGTTCATTCTTTAGTGTAAATCCACTATCTTTTTGCACCAGAGAGAAGGGCGACAAGACAGTGTTGTTTATGTGTCTGAAGTATATTGTGTACTGTGCTTGAATTTGTTTGGCTTTAAAAATGGAAGAGAAAAATATCTGAGATTGCTAAAGATGAGTATTGTTCACTTTTTTTGTTTTTATTTTTTATTTTATTATTATTATTATTTAAATGTAGGTGTCCCTGCTGGGCAGATGATGAAAGTATTTGTGCCCGGAATGTGAACAATGAAGTGCACTTCTTTGAAAACAACAACTTCAGTAAGCAAGTATTTCTATGAGTGTCATTGTGTTCTATATAGGCCTCTCTTTTTTTTTCTCCCCTACTTTTTTCTCATTTCTTACATAGCTTGCTTTTTATTTGAAACACTGCCTGTATTTCATTTTAGTTCTGGAAATTCAAAATCACTGTATTTTAATTAAGTATATTTTCTTTATTGTTTGTTTTCCTTTTCATTAATTTATCTACTTCAGATGCATTTTCAAATAAGAAAGCAGTTTCCCTTCATTCCTGTGAATCAGGCTAGGAGCAGGATGGGCTGTGGGGCCTCTGTAATTGGTTGTTTTTTTTAAAACAGAGTTACTGTTTAAAAAAGAAAGTGTGTGTGTATAACCTTGTAAGAGTTTTTTGAGCATTAGTCCTAGTGTTGTTAATGACACTGAGGTTTCTGTTGTGATTTGCCAGAGGAGAGGGATTTCAGAAAGCAGTCGCAAGTGCTTTGTTTCTTTACCACGACTGGTTTATGCAGCATAACCATTCCTGTACAAAGATTCTTTCCATTTTTTTCTCAACAGGAAAAAATACCACAGAGCCTGGCAGTCTTTATACACAATGAACTACTTTCATACTCCTAGAGTATTTCATATGCTGAACTTGCACGTTAATTCTTTTTTCCCCTCCTGTCCTCACTTCTGGCCTTTGTGCGCAGAAATGAGACTGTTAAGAATGCTATTTTCCCAGTGCAGTCTGTTTACAATAAATTATTATTCCAGCTATGCAATTCTTTCTTTGTAATTTAGTTACAAAATTGGTATTAAACTCCCATTTCTGTGCCCCCACTGTGGGATTTAGAAGTGGTGCTAGGTATTAATCTCCCTCCAGCACCTTGCAAGACATACCCCGTAGCACTGATGTGTTTGCCATTCTGACAAACGCTGTATTCTTCTTTAGTTGTTGCCAATGCAGGAGCAGTGTTGTTCTCTCTCCCCTCATCCCACATTAAAACAGTGATTTTTTTTTTTTTCCTCTGGTGTCTGAAGACACCCACGTTCCCTCAGCTCCCTTCTCACTCTGCACCAGGGAAGTGTGCGTTGTCTGCTGTAGCATAAGCCCTGCTGTTCAGCCCCAGCTTCCTTGCTACAATCAGTTGTGAATTGGTGTTGCTGCTTTACTTTTTAAGAGTTGGCAAGGTGTAATTCCTGTGAGTTGTTATGTAAAGGAGCAGCGTTCAGTGCAGAACAGCCTTTGTGAAAGCATCTTATCAGGAGAAGTCAGCCAGTAAACTTAAGAGTGGAGAATCCCTGACTGTGTAATGGTGTGTGTTTTCTGGATGTGATGCTGCCTCCTATAAAGGCAGCACAGATAAGATGAAGGATACTGTTTGCTTAAAACACAGGCTGTGTGCAAGTAGTGTTCAGAAGCTTTCTTGCTGTTTGAACTTCTAAATACTAGATTTCAAAGCTAGGCTTGGTTTGAGTTGTTTTTGTAAATAAAACTAGTCAGACCTCCAGTTTGAAGGAATGGGAAGGTAATGGTTGTTTGTCTTTATATCAAACCTTTATTATCCATGATAGAGACTCGTGAGAAAGTATTACTGAGTATTCCGGGCTGCTCTTTGATGTCATCACATCTGTAACTTCTTTTTTTTTTGCAGATACTATTGCAAATAAGCTTCATTTGCAAAAGGTTAATGATTTTGTGTTATCGCCAGGAGCACAGCCAACCAAGGTACTGCTGCAGTTTGTTTCCAATTTTTTCATGGTTTTCTTCAAACATGACTGTTATTTTGGTATGGTGTACTGGTAGTGAATAGACGTTGTGCTACCAAGAATTTAATCTGCAATAAAATCTCACTGCTTTGTTTTAGGTTGCTGTGTATGTTCCAGGCAGTAAAGGTGCACCATCATTTGTTAGGCTCTATCAGTATCCCAATTTTGGTGGACCTCAATCTGCACTGGCCAATAAGAGTTTCTTTAAAGCTGACAAGGTGACAATGCTATGGAACAAAAAAGGTATTTAATCACTTTGTGAATTTTACGTTTAATTTTCTTGTGTAGATAAATACTGAAGGTAGTCATTGCTGCCAATGCAATGTTAAGGTTGCAATTCTGAGTACCATGCAGTGCTCAGAACTTTTCCACATTGACTTCTGACACGTGATTTTTTTTTTTTTTCCCCCCCTTACTGTATCATAATTCAGGGTATTCTATGCTCTAGAAAGTTCAGGAATTGAATTGCAAATTCAAATTGAATTTTGTATTCTGTAGTAATGCATTTAAGCTGTAAACGTAAGTTTATGTGTTGATATAATATTTTTACTTTGTAAAATCATGGATACACAGACATACCACGACTG